TTTTGGTTTTGGGGAAAAAGAAAGAGAGAGCGGGAAAAATTAGTGGGAGAAAAGGAGCGAATAATATTAGGTTTTTCTAAGTAATATACCCCTAGATCAACAACATGGTCGGAGCATGCACCTAAGTTCAATGGTGGTGGAGGAGGATATCGGTGTCTGAGAGAAAAAAGAGGAAGAGGGAGAGAGGAGGAAGGAGATGAGTGAGGAGAGGAGAGGAGAGGAGAGGAGGGAGGAGAAAAGAGTGGAGGACATTTTGGAATTTTTATTTTTTTCTTCTCTCTCTCTCTCTGTACTTAGTTGATAGGAAATAATAGTTGAATAAGGGCTGAATCACATAGATTTGGATTTCAGGGGCTGAATCACATGGGAAAAACGTTGAAGGAGTTGGTCACATGGAGTTCTTAAAATTGGGGCCTTGACATAATTTTTTCTTAAAACATTGATACAGAGCTTTTTAAATTCATCAAAATTATTAAAAAGCTTAAATTACAAAATATACGTTGGTCAAAAACATAATATCCTAAGAAATTTATACAAAGTGTAAGAGATAAAATTTTAACGAATATTTAATCAGATGAATCAGATATACATCTAGTAAAAATCTATTTGTTCTGAATATTAAAAACTATTTATTAACTATGAAATAAACTATCATGTCCAATATAACTAAATAATTAGACAAAAAATGGAAGAATTATTTGTTAATTATCTTTCATTTTTTGTCCAATTATTTGACATTTATATGTCCTAAAATTTTCCTCCTGTCTCAGAACTTAGAAGTAGTTGGAATGTGTGTGCTGTAGTATATAAATAGATTTCTATATAATGACCTCTGGCTTAAACTTCTAAAATGCTAAAAACTTATCATATTTACAGTTGCTATTCAATGTATTTTCATAGAAACTACCTTTAGAATGTGGTCATTCTACAGAAATCACTTTTTATTTCAATTTATACAAAAGCCACATTTAAAGTATTTTTATTGTTATAGTTAACCGTCTAGGTCCACTTTTCAGATAAATTAAGGACCATCTCTAACCTTAATTAAGGACCACCTCTCATATATAGATAGTATTTGATAATTAATTATTACAGCAAAATCAAAAGGAACTTGACCCCAGGTAGTTGATTGCAATTAAAAAAACTTTAGAGATGATTTATGTATAGATTGTAAAATTAAAGATGATTTCTCCAAAATGAGCATGTTTTAAAGATGATTTATATGAAATAATCCTGCTATTTAAACAGAAAAAAAGTTGAATTGCGGTATTACTTCTAATGCCTCCGAAACTAGTGTTATATAGCGTTCATAACTCAGCTGAGTTACCGATGACTTTGCGGGGCCAACTACTTCAGTAGCAAAATCAGCTATGTTGGCTGTCTTTATCTTAACCGTGTAATCTTGAAGCAGCCAAAAGTGAACCTAAACCAATTACTCGTTTTCAGTTCACATCTCCACAACCTACACGCAACACTCACTCAACTACTGTCCACGCATTCAGTTGAAACAAACATCAAAGTGTAAAAAATCCTAATCCTAATGGTACTGTTTGGTAAAGGGTTAAGTGATGTGTTAAGGAGACTTAACCCCTTCTTAATCCGTCAAATACAAAAAATCTATACAAGGGTTAGAGTGAGTTAACCATTCATAGTTTGCCAAACACAAAAAATATAGAAGGGTTAAGCTAACCCCTCTAGAGGGATTAAAATGAGTTAACCCCTCAAAAGAAAGGGTTTACTAATACTCCTATTTAGAAGGATTAAGAGTTAACTCTTCTAATTATAAAAAAATAGTTAAAATTCTTGTTATTCCCAAACACTAAAAATGATCACAATGGCTAAAATAAAACTTATATAATGAGTTAATAATTTAGTTTTTCAGATTATCAAATAAGTTAACTATGTTAATCCTTCTCATTAATCCCGCTTCCTTAACCTTTTACCAAATGGAGCCAATGAGTATAAAAAAGGAGAATGAAAGTACAAAGTGGGAGAGAACAACTTGATGAAAATTAAAGAATATTTTAAAACTTCACTATAGGTATCGTTTGGCAAATTATAGGGAGTGGTTTGGAAAAGAACCAATTTTGGGGCAAAAATTGGTTTAAAAATTTTGGTCAATTCTAGGCATCAAGAAGTCTAGTGGGACACGTGTCTCCAAACTTAGCCTTACCACAAGTCCAGCCATGCTAGCGGTAGTCGCGTCGACTACCGCTTTAACTGGCCAACACGTGCCCAAATAGCCCCTAAACCCTAGAGTTGTAACCCTACAACCTATACTCTCTACCCAATGAAAAGATGAGTTATAGCGGCAGTCGCTAACGACGACTGTCGCTGGCATGGCTCACCTCAAGTCTAATCTTAAACCCAACTCAATTTTCACCCATACATTTTGATCGAGTAACCAAGAGCATACGTTGAAGGTGACTATTCTTAGACTTTCTCTCTGGCCTTTAGGTTAAACCATAATCAAATCTAGCATAATTTTAAAGAATTTTCAAACACATTCTAGAGAAAAAATACTCACAAAATAAGATCGTCTCGATTGCGGATAGATCGTACTAATAGATCCATATTAGAAGGCTGTAGAGAGGATCCTAACATACATTAAGGAGAACTCGGATATTGCATTATATTATGAGGGATCAGACTTTATTGTCAGTGATATGTTGATTCTGATTATGTAGGTGATCGTGATAAAAGTAAATATACCACAAGCTATGTGTTTGAACTTGCTGATGGGAGCTATAAGCTAGGTTTCAAAACTACAGTTAATTGTGGTCACATCAACAACAGAAGTAGAATACTTAGCAGCTATACAGGCCAGTTAAGAAGCAGTATAGTTGAAAATGGTATTGGAAGAACTCGGGTATGAACAAAAGAAGATTTCTCTATTTTGTGATAGTCAAAGTGCTTTGCATTTAGCAAGAAATTTTAGCTTTTTATTCAAAAATAAAACACATTCAAGTTCAGTACCACTTTGCTCATGAGAAAGTGGAAGAAGGAACAATGGATATGCAGAAAATTCACACAAAAAACAACCCAGTTTATTTTTCAACAAAGGCAATTAATACTGATAAATTTTTTTGGTGTCAATTCTCTTCTAGTCTGATGGAGACGTGACCAACATGAAAACGACAAAATAAAAGGAATGACGTGAAAATATGATTGATACTCAATCAAATCTTTTAGTGGAAGATTTATCACCTAATTAATATAACTCTTAGTCAAAATAAGCTCATTCCTCTTAAATGGGATTGGCAAGAAAATACCGTAAATTTCTAATGTGAGGCATGTGTTAAGCAAAGAGGTCTGAAGAACATAATTCTGTCTACTAGAGACAAAAGAGAAAATTTCCACTAATTATTACCAAAAAAAAAAAATTCCAGAACTCTAGAACTACCCACATAACAAATGAAGGTATCATCCACAAAAAATCAATACAATTGGGAGGGAATGATCAAAGGGGAAAAGCTTCAAGTGGAAGAACCTTCAAGAACTAAGTTTAGATACAAGAGAAAAGGGGAAAAGCTTCAAGTGGAAGAACCTTCAAGAACTAAGTTTAGATACAAGAGAAAAAGAGGAATTTCTCACTATTTTCTACTAGAAAAGATCACCTTCAAGAACTAAGTTTAGATACAAGAGAAAAAGAGGAATTTCTCACTATTTTCTACTAGAAAAGATCAAAACTGATAAATTTCCACAATTCCAACCACCTAACGAATTAAATGCAAGTTTTTTCCACAACCAGTCAATAAACCCATAGATTTTAACAACAATCTCAGATCTGCAAACAATTAATAGCAAAAATAACCCAAACCTCAAATCTACAAGAATTACCTTCAATTTCATGAGTCGGCTACTTAAATCGCGAGAGAAGCCTTCAAAGAGAGCGCGAAGAAAGGAATCGATCAGCAGCATGAGATCACAGCACGAGATCAAGGCGGCGGAAGATTTTGTAGCGGTAAGAGGAGGCGGCAGGCCTGATTTCGGGACGAGAAGAGGAGGCAGAAGTTAGGAATTGGCAGCGGGAAGAAATGGTGACGGACTAGGGTTTTGGTTTCGTCAATTGGGGTAAGCTGAGATAAAAGGCTGAGCTGGATGTATTGTGTCAGAAATCCACCCCACATCCCACATGAAAAAGAAGATTTTACAAATCCTTAAATATATTACCTTTTTTATTATTTGGGGATTTAATATCCTAAAACTTATTTTGAAACAAACAAATTTTATGGAATTCTAAAACCCCAAAAAACCTCTTTTTACATCCCAAAACTTAAAATACATACCATATCTTAAAAAAAAAAAAAAAATTGAAACAAACAAACAATCAAGACACCTCACCATCCAATCGTAAAACCTCTCTAAAGCTCTCCACGAGCGCCCCACACCCTAGCCGAATCCCCCCTCCAACCTCAAAATGGTCACTCAACTCCTCTCTTTCTCCTCCCCCTCGCTCCATCCCCCCGATACCGCCCATCAAACCTCCCCCCCCAGTCAACCTCGAAGAACGCACCCCCTCTCCTACCCCCTGCCAGGCCCCATCACAGCGCCTAACCCCTTCTGCAACACCTCCCTCCCCCTCCCCCTCCGGGCCACTACCCTCCTCCTCCACCTCAACCCTCCCCAGAAAGATCTCCTCCTCTCCAACAACGCCTCCCTCCATCCCCAGCCTCGGCTCACCCCCTACCAGTGTGGTCCGAGTCCCTCCACGGCCTCGCCCACCAACGCCCCGGCGTCGACTTCACTCCGGCCCCATCCGCATGCCGCCACCTCCTTTCCCCAGGTCCTCCTCTCCGGCCGCCTCCTTCAATCCGCTCCCTCTGGCGGTCACTCCGCCGCCCGCTCATCGCGGTCGAGGCGAGGCCATTTACACACGTCGGCAGCTGGGCTGACCCTTCTGGGCGCCCCAACCTGAACGTGTTCAGACCCGAGGTGGCGGCCGGGGGCAGGTAGACGCCCAGGGGAGGACCGACGGTGGCGGCGGCCTACCGCGGCTGATGGTTTCCGCTTGCTGCAAGCATTTTACGGCGTATGATCTGGATAAGTGGGGGAATTTTAAGAGGTATACGTTCAACGCTAAGGTTAGTTTCTTTTTTTTTTTTTTTGAACCCTTATTAATTATTTGTTGTGTTCAACCGGCCGTAACATGATTGTTAATTGGAAAATGATAGGGGCACACACAACCACACTTCTAACCACACTTCCTCTCTCATTTGTTACAGTGCACCGAGCTCCACATGTGATTTTAAATTTTTAAAATCCCCTGTGAAGTCGGTGTACTGTAGCAAATGAGAGAAGGGGTGTGGTTGGAGATGTGGTTGGGGGTGTGCCCCTAGTGCCACCTTGTTAATTCCTTGACTACTTGTTGATGGTGCTAACTGGTAAAGCGATTCATTTACTTGTGGTAGAGCTGGTATTTAATATTAGTCCTGAATTATGATCGGTGGAGCCTCCTCGCAGCTGTTGAATTTATGTTGAGGGGGTCCTTTAGGACATAGTTTGCTCACCTCTTGTGCTTCCTTCTATAGTAACTATATATTCAATAGCTCTGCCTACCTGTTTACATAATTTTATGACACCTTTTAATGATCGTTATGTTAGGTGACGGAGCAAGATATGGCTGACACCTACCAGCCACCTTTCAGAAGCTGCGTTGAGGAAGGGGAAGCAAGCTGTTTGATGTGCTCTTACAATCAGGTCAACGGCGTGCCTGCTTGTGCACGGCATGATCTACTGCAGAAGGCCCGGGATGAGTGGGGATTCAAAGGGTAATTATTTCATCGTTTTATTCAATCAGATTTTAGCAATTCTGTATCTGATGTTTGATTAAGTTTTGTATTTCCGCACGAAGATATATCACCTCTGATTGTGACGCCGTTGCAATAATTCACGAAGATCAGAATTACGCAAAGTCCCCTGAAGATGGAGTTGCTGATGTACTGAAAGCAGGTTGCATATCTATTCTTACCCAATTTTAAACCTATTTCTATAGTTTCTGAACTGGCTTGCTTGCTCTTTATATGAATAAGGAATGGATATCAATTGCGGGACCTATTTACTGAGATACACCGAATCAGCAGTGAAATTAGGGAAAGTGCAAGAGGAAGACATTGATCGCGCTCTTTTAAATCTATTCCAAGTTCAGCTGCGACTAGGTCTCTTCGATGGGAATCCAGCAAATCGGCAGTATGGGCATCTAGGACCAGCAAATGTTTGTACTCTTGAACATAGGAAACTGGCACTCGAAGCAGCTAGACAGGGCATTGTCCTCCTGAAGAATGATAGAAATTTTCTGCCACTGGAAAAGGAAGAACTTACTTCCTTGGCCATTATTGGTCCTGCAGCAAATGATACAAGCATATTGGGCGGTGGTTACTCCGGTATGCAATGCTGCTTTAGTTATAACTCACTCAATTTTTTTCTTTTATTTCAATCTCTTATTGTTTGCCCCTACAATGATTTAGGCATTCCTTGCAATCCAAGGAGCTTTTTTGATGGCCTTCAAGCTTATATACCAAAAACATCATTTGCCACCGGATGCAATGATGTGCCGTGTGAATCTGACGATGGGTTTGAAGATGCCATTCGTGTTGCGAGAGAAGCAGAAGTTGTCGTTGTGGTTGCTGGATTGAACCTAACTGAAGAAACAGAGGACCATGATCGTGTGAGTTTACTACTTCCAGGCAAACAGATGGACCTCATAAATGCGATAGCTCATATAAGTAAGAAGCCATTGATATTGGTTCTCATGGGTGGTGGTCCTCTTGATATTTCATTTGCCAAGGCAAACCCATTGATTGCAAGCATTCTTTGGATTGGATACCCTGGTGAAGTTGGAGGCCAAGTCCTTGCTGAAGCTCTTTTTGGACAATTCAATCCAGGTTAGCAGTCATTGATTACCACAACAGCAAACAAAGACGAGTCTTTTATCCCATCTGTTTGGGGTTAGCTACATAGATCATGTTCTTACATTCAGTGCTATCAAGGATCATCTCCTCCATTGCTTAAATTATTATTGTATCACTTTTAATTGCTTAACAAGTTATGTTTGCTCTATCTCCGATCCTCTTTTTACCTCATTAAATATGATCCTATCACTTCTCTTAACCAGTTCATTTTCCATTTTGTAGTCTCTGTTCTACATGATCAAAACTATCTCAATCGATTCTCTCTCATTTTTTTTCCTCAGTAAGACCAACCTCTAGCCTCCAATGAATTTTTTCATTTGGTGCATTCTTTTTTTTTGTCGAGGTTGTGCATTAATTGTCCAACATTTTGTATCCAGCAAAGAGCAACCTCTAACCTTCTTGCACCAAGTCTTTTTCCTGTGAATCCACAAGGCCATCATAACCTTTTCATTTCTGCTGCTTTCATTTTCTGCACATATTTATCAAGCGTCCTACATTCTGATCCATAAAACATTGTTGGTTCTAGTCAAAACTAGTGAAATTCAAAATCCTTGTATTTAAGAATCCTTTTTAATCATGTTTGCTTGGTTGAAACAGGAGGGAGATTACCTGTAACTTGGTACCCAGAATCCTTCACTAAAGTGCCAATGAATGACATGCACATGAGAGCTGATCCTTCAAGAGGCTACCCCGGACGAACATATCGGTTTTACACAGGAGAGGTGGTTTATGGATTTGGGTACGGATTGAGTTACTCTAACTATTCATATAAATTTTTATCTGCACCTGAACATATTACGTTGTTTGATTATTCTTCTCAAGCACATATTAGTAGAGAACCTCAATATGCAGCCACAAAGGATGGTCTTGATTATATGCACATTGATAAGATATCTTGTGAAGCATTAAAGTTCTTTACAAGGATTTCAGTGGTAAATAGAGGGGATATTGATGGGAGTCATGTTGTTTTATTGTTTTCGAAAACGATGACACAGGCTAAAGGTTCTCCAAAGAAACAATTGATTGGTTTCGAACGGGTTTATGTAGAAGCTAAGGGATCTACTGAAATTGGTTTTCTCATAGACCCTTGCAAGCATTTGAGTACTGTGAATGAAGAAGGGGAAAGAATACTGATAGTGGGAGCTCATGTTCTTATGTTGGAAAACTTGGAACATGTTCTGTTTATTGAAAAATGAAGAGATTAAATTGTGAACAGAAGGATCAGATGACTTGGTTCTTTTGTGTAAAGATCAAAATAAAATGTAACTCGATTTGATTACAAAACTGAAATCAAAATTGACAATCGGTTCGGAACATTCTCAAGGTTCAGAATAGGCTCTTGATATTGGGCTTTTAACTTCACAAAATGACTCTGGATTCACTCATGTGACGCTATGTTCTTGAAAAAGATAATGCCCCACCTTATTGGATGGGATTAATCTCCGCTGGCGCGGGCCTGAGGGGAGTTTAATTACTTGAGAAGGAGATTCGAACACATGACTCCCGCTATGGATCGTTCCCCCTCAAGGGCTCTGGGAGCCAACCAAACATGCTCAGGGATTCTCCTATTTCTTTGCAACTATAATTTGCATCATTACTATTCATTGACATAGCTGTTCTCCATGAAGTTGTTTTGTCTTCCATGTGTTTAGTGCACCAAATACAGACACCTACAATGATAAAATGTCGCTTATATAAACAGTACTAATTATTTTCTTAAAGCCCCATATTAATGAACTAGGTCAGAGCCTCAGAGGGTATCTTCACTTTTCCTGTAGATAAAGAGTGCAGAACGTGGAAGCTTCATTTCTTATATATACACAGCACAGGAAGACTCCCTTTTCTTTTCTTTTTTTTTTATGATGTTGTTGTTATTGTTGTTTTGTTTTGGCTGTTTCCTTTTTATTATGTGATTCTAATCTTTTTACTATTTTTTTTGATATTACTTAATTAATAACGCCTAACAAACCCGAAAATCCAGTGGCCGGAGCTAAAAAAAAAAAAAATCCGTAATTAAGAGGAAAATGTCTCATATTCCTTGGTGGTCACGTTACGTATATTCCTACTCCTAACCCTGCAATTCATTCCCAACCTTTTCCCACTAAATACCCCCAAATTATTAGAAAATCACCTTCATCTCTCTCTAATCTCCTTTCCTTAAAAAAGAAGCCAA